TATTTATTTATTTATTTATTTATATCTATCTATCTATCTATCTATCTATCTATCTGTATATATATACATACACATACTATAAGGGTAGACCCTCAGGGTATGAAATCCACCACGATCCTCAAAAATCGGAAGCCTGAACCCCAAAGTCCCAGCCGAGAGACCCAGGAATCCGTGGACCCAGCTTTGTAGAGAAGCCATATCGCCTGCCGCTGCCGATCCGCACCCACAGACCAGGGGTTTAGGGCTTAGGGTTTCGGGTATAGGGTTTCGGATCTAGGGTTTAGGGTTAAACCCTAAACCCTAAGTACCCTTCATGCAGGGACAACTCGTTCGCGTAAGAGGTTTAGAGCTTTGGGGTTTAGGTATAGGGCTTTTGTGGGTTTATGGATGTTCACGTTTCGAAAATCAAAGGCTACCTTCACAGCCGCCAACTCCCGGAAAACAATAGAGGAAGAAACGAGAAGAAGCTTCAATCTTCGCCAGTTCGCAACCATGTGGCAAGCCATGCCGGACTAAGGCAATCTCCCGAGAACTCCTGCCCAAATCAGAGATTGGAGGTGGTTCAACAGCAGCCTGGTGCGTTTAAAAGCATCAACCGTCGGACCCCTAAGCTCTAAACTGCAAACCCTCAACCGAAAGCCTTAAGACCAAGCCCTATCCCTAGGCTTCCAAGGACCTTATAGTTAGGGCCCGAGACCCCTTAAGGACCCAATAATAAGGTCCCTGGAAGCCTTAGGTATGAACCTAAACCATATGCCATACACGAAACTTCGAAACCGAAACAGCGTAAAGCTAGCAGCCTTGTCCCAGAGGCTGACTCGCTCACACGAGGCCAGCGCTGCTCCGAGCGACGCCGGGCTGGTGCCTGCAGGTCAGCAGGAGGAGGAGGAGGAGGAGGGAGGAGGAGGAGGCTTGGGAGTAGTAGTCGTCGTCGTGGTCGGAGTTACAACGAAAGCCCAAAACTCCATAGACAGTCTGCAACCCCCCGTAAAGCCCCCCGAAGATTCTGACCCCGCCTTCGACTTCCACTTCCTCGCCACGCCGTGCCAGCTCCATGGCAACGTGCCAGAGGCTGCCACGGAGGCCTGGTCACTTGACTTCTAAGATGTGTGGCGTATGGGGTGTGTGAGGGTTCCCTCCTGGTTTGGGACCTTTACAAGGTTGCCATCCGGTCTTTCTGATTCTTTGTCGGGTATCTAGACTTAGAAACACTTACATGTCCCATTAAGGTACTTGCAATCGTCTTGCAGATCGGATGTAGTGTTCGAGGGGTTGGAACCGGGCTTGGGACACATAACCCCAAACCCTCCAGGTACCTACTATATAGGGCCCTAGGGGCTCTAGTACCCTATATAGTAGGTATGTAGGGGGTTAGGGAACCATGGTTTTGCACGGCTGCACAATGAACTCAACACGTGCGGCCCGTGCACCTCGAACGCTACAAAGACCAAGCTTTACGCTTGCGTGCTACGCGACTCATCCGCGATCCTGAAAAGCCCCAGCTCAAGTGTGATCAAAACCCCATAGACACAAGACTCAGCTCCACATCCTCGCCAGAACTGCCTGGAGAAACTACCCATAGGCCCCATAGCAGTTCCTTTTTGTGGCTTATATTTAGGATCCTATTAGGTAATCCCAAAAAAGAACTACTATTGGGCCTATGGGTAGCTCAAACAATCTCGCCCCCTGAAGCTGATAATGCAGCCTCTCTGGTGCCTATGTTCGGGTTTCTACAGAGGTTGCATAGGGGCGAATCGGTGGTAACAGCGCTGTGTAAAGAAATTAAAGACTAGCGCAGGAATCTGATTGAGATTTCGTGGCTTCTTTTTCGGGCCGCTGATGCGGATCCTGTTTACTTTTAGGAAAGAGAAGCAGTGTTTGTTCATCCAGCTCCCAAAACACCCCCTAAGCCCTGATCGCAATTGTAGCCTTTGTAATCGGCCCGTCCCCAGCGTTGCTGGGGAGCTCACAAGCCGTGGCTGTAGTGTTGTAGGTGATGCTCGTTGCTGGCAACCTTGGTCCCGGCTCGGGCTTCTCTTTGTAAGGGTTTAGGGTTTAGGGTTTAGGGTTTAGGGTTTAGGGTTTAGGGTTTAGGGTTCTCTTTGTAAGGGTCCAGAGTTCACGGCTATGCCCGCAGCATCCTATGTTTCTATATACTGGAATTTAGGGTTTCTGTATTAGGAGCTACTACGGTTGATGATAGAAATCCTGCACTACCCATAATAAGGAATATACCATAATTTCCATAGTTTAGGATCCTTAGGGTAATGCAGGATTTGTATCATCCACAGTATTATGATTTAGGGAAGTATCCCCCATAACCTTACATAGGAACCTGTAGGATGCACTACCTACTTAAGACTTCAGGGGACTCAGTATAAATCATTCTAGCAGATGCCGCTGGCAAAGCAGCAGACAAAGTTAAACTGCACGGGAAAGACAGAACCTTAGAATTTAGAAGGCACCGACACACTCCACGCAACTCCGTCATGCCCTATCAAGCCCATAACTCGCCCATGCTGACTCAACTTACTGACCTTTTTGCTACGTCAACATCAGTTAATCTGTTACAACAAGTTCTGGCGCCGGGCACAGCTTTCAAATCTGAACCCCGCACTCTCGAACACTGAATCCAAGGGCTTTAGGAGGGACCCTTAATAGGGACCTTTGTAGGTTATTGGGGTTAATATGGAGACTACCTGGCTAAATAAGGGGTATATAAGGACTATACAATGGTCAGGCTTTAACACCCAAAGCTGAGTAAGTCAAAACAATCACACCCTACTCCCTTCTGGACCCCAAACCCTTGAGCACCTAAACTCTACAGAACCTTACTTGGAGGATCATCGGACTTAGTAACTAGGGTTATACATAAGGTAACTACAGTTATTATACCAGCCTCGACCCCAAACAGCAATTGAGAAGTACCGATTCCGATACCAGACGGGCGTTAGAGCATCCAGAATGTGGCAGGCAAATGGAGGACAAGTGGGAGACAAATGAGTAGCGATTTTTAGAGTAGTGCCGTGAGAAATCCACATGAGCGTTAGAGAATTCTTTTCTATTAAGCAAATCAAGAACCCCTCAGCTAAAG